TTTATTGCTGTTTATTATTTTAAATCATGAAAGTATTTGAATTTTGTCAAATTCATTTTCTGCAGCAAGTGATATGATCATGTGGTTTTGTTCCTTTTCATTCTCTAATGTGGATTACATTGATTTTTGCATGTGGAGCCATTCCAGCATTCCAGGAATAAATCCCATTTGGTCATGATGTATAATCCTTTCAATATGTTGCTGAATTTGTTGTTGGTAGCATTTTGTTGAGATTGTTTGTTTTGCGTCAATATTCGTCTTGGTTTATTTTTCTTTTCTTGTAGTGTTTGGCTTTGGTATCAGGGTATTGATGGCCTTATAGGATGAGTTAGTGTTTCCTCCTCATTAATTTTTTGGGAAAGTTTGAGAAGGATTAATGTTAATTTTTCTGTAAATCTCTGGTAGAATTCACTAGTGAACCCATCTGTCCAGGGCTTTTCTTTGTTGGGAGGTTTTTGATAACTGATTCAGTTTTCTTACTAGTTTTTAGTATTCAGATTTTCTACTTCTTCATGATTAAGTTTTGGTAAACTGTGTGTTTCTAGGAATTTGACCATTCATATAGGTTAGCCAGTTTGCTGGAAGACAGTTGTTCATAGTATTCTGTTTTTGTTCCACAAAATAATCCTTTTTATTTTCATAACATCAGTAATAATGTCCCTTTTCTGATTTTAGTAATTTGAATATTCTTTATTTTCTTGTCAGTCTAGCTAAAGGCTTGTCACTTTTGTTGATTTGGTTTTAAGGCTTGTTTATTTGAGAGAGAGCGTTAGAGAACGCGCGTGCGTGTGCACATATGTGAGCAGGGAGGGGCCAGAGGGAGAGCGAGATTCTCAAGCAGACTCCCCACCGAGCATGGAGCCCAACACGGGGCTCCATCTCATGACTCTCAGATCATTACCTGAGCCGAAATCAATAGTTGGATGTTTAAACCACTGAGCCACCCAGGTGCCCCAGTTTTGTTGATCTTTGTAAAGGACTGACTTTTAATTTTGATTTTCTCTATTGTTTTTCTGTTCTTTATTGACCCAGATTTAAAACAAATTCTTAATGTATCATCTATAAATAATTCAGTATTATTTTTAAAATAAAGTTAAAATTTTCAATTTTAGATTTTAAATATGAGAATTTTAAACCACAAAGTAACACTATTATTATGCCTTAAATTTTAATATATTTTTAAATTTTATTTATTTGACAGGGTGAGAGGGCACAAGCAGGGGGAGCCTCAGGAGAGGGAGGGGAGGGCGGGAGTCTGATGTGGGGCCTGATCCTACGACTCTGGGATCATTAGCAGATGCTTAACCAGCTGAGCCACCCAGGCACCCCTTAATAACTTTAATATCAAATCTAGTCTGCATTCAAATGTCTTTGGTCATTTCAGTTATTTTTCCAAGTGGTTTGTTCAAGTTGGAATCCAGACAATCCACAAGTTGCTTTTGGTTGGTATGTCTCTGAGATTTCTTTCTTTATTTTTTATTTTTTAAGATTTTACTTATATGACAGAGAAGGATCACAAGTAGGCAGAGAGGTAGGTGGGGGGGGGGGGAAGCAGGATCCCCGCCGAGCAGAGAGCCTGATGTGGGGCTGGATCCCGGGACCCTGAGATATGACCTGAGCCGGAGACAGAGGCTTAACCCACTGAGCCACCCAGGCACTCCTCTGAGGTTTCTTTAAATCTGTAGGTTCTTCTTCCTCTGTTTTATTACTTTTTAGTTGTTGGAGAAATCAGAACAATTTTGAGAATTTTCCTTGTTTTTGATACCATTGAATTTTTAGGAAAATCTTTCTTGTATTCCTATAAGCTGGTGGATGTACAGAGTTAATCAGATTCAAGTTCTTTTGTTTTACTTTGCTTTGTTCAGGAGAATCCTTCTTAGGTGGTACTATGTTCTTTGTGTTGCATCACACGAAGAGGTACATTTTAGGTATTCATCCCTTTTTGTTATAGTAAGATTAATTATTTCAGTTCAGGTATTGTCATCTTGAATGATCCTTTATGAAGTTCCCTATCAGTCTTCACTGAATGATTTTAGTTTAGCATCCATTAATAATTGCTTCTGGATCTATTATTTTATTAGGAGTTGTGAAATGGTGGTAGTTATAGTTTATCATTCCTTCTGAATTGTGGGACATCTAAAAAGAAAACCTATTTAGTTATCCCAAGACATATAGTTCATATAGAACCGGCGGATAAATGTTTGGCTCATGCCTTGTTTCCCAAAGGTAACCAATGAGGCTTTTTGGTGCCTCTGATATCCTTATGTATGAATAAATTTTAACATCTAATGTGTTTCAATCCACGGTGGCAATTTTTCAATGTTGAATTGTCTCACTGGCTACAGGTCTTCAAATTGGCTCCTATGTCCTTATTCTTTAATCCTAATAGTCTTTGATAATTTTCTTGCTTTCTGGTATAATAAAGTATTTCAGGCTGGTCTAATACATTTCCTGTCTAGACCTGGAAACAGCCATTCATTCCTCCACGGAACTGTGGTTCTTTTCAGGGGAAATGCTATTTAGAGACCATAACTGAGGCACAGACTTATTATGTCTGGTTTTTTTTTTTTAAAGATTTTATTTATTTATTTGATAGACGGAGATCACAAGTAGGCAGAGAAACAGGCAGAGAAACAGGAGGAAGCAGGCTCCCCGCTGAGCAGAGAGCCCGATGCGGGGCTCGATCCCAGGACTCTGGGATCATGACCCGAGCCGAAGGCAGAGGCTTTAACCCACTGAGCCACCCAGGCACCCCTTACATCTGTTTTTAACAAGTGTTTATGACCACATCTGCTTATTGCAGTATAATGTATACCATAAGCAATCCAGGTATAGAATGACCCCATAGCTTTGTACTCTCCAAAATGTTCTAAAAGCCAATATATATGTAAAAAAAACCCAAATTCTAAATTTTTGTTTGCAAAAGGAAGAAACCTGGTTAGGTTCAAGTGCAATGATATCCTGGGAGGGGTGCAGAGGGAGAGGGAGAAAGAAGAGGAGAAAGGTGGGGAGTGGGAGAGCCACCTGGAGGGGGCTGGCAGGCTCTCTTCTGCAAGGTTGCACAGGGCAGCACTCATTTTTCAAAATCCCTTGGTCTTGAAGACCCAGAAACTTGCTGTTAGCACAAGGAGAGTGTCCATCTGTCATCTCATCTCAGCCAAGGTCCCAGACTAATATATGCAAGATATCGGTTAATAAAGAATGAGAAAACTGCCTTTGAGACACACATGTCCATATGACCTCATTCATGTCTAAATACTTCTGGGTTTTTGCCCCATCCAGCTTTTCCCATCACCGGTCCCACTGTTCCCTCTTTGTGCCCCTGTCATCAACTGTGAGTAGCTTAAATTCCCATTTCCCAGAGCCGCTCATCCAACTCTATCACCTGAAGGCCATTTTATTATTAAAATTATTTTAATTGACATATACTGTATTATTTGCCCCAGGGGTACAGGTCTGTGAATCGTCAGGTTTACACACTTCACAGCACTCATTACCCTCCCCAATGTCCATGACCCCACCACCCTCTCCCTACCCCCCCAACCCTCAGTTTGTTTTGTGAGTTTAAGAGTCTCTTATGGTTTGTCTCCCTCCCGATCCCATCTTGTTTCATTTTTTCCTTCCCTATCCCCAACCCCCCCACCCTGCCTCTCAAATTCCTCATATCAGAGAGATCATATAATAATTGTCTTTCTCTGACTTATTTCACTCAGCATAATACCCTCTAGTTCCATCCACGTTGTTGCAAATGGCAAGATTTCATTTCTTTTGATCTAAAGCCCATGTTAAATGCCCTCTTCTCTTCAAACTTCCTTTGAGCCTTCAAATCCAAAATAACCACGGCCTCAGAACTGTAAGAGCACATTGTTCCATGCACATTTTTTTCACAGTCCTTTTTAAAATAATTATTTGCATGCATGACTACAGATGGTTGGAGAGGAGTTTTTGTTTCACTGATGCTTGAAGCTCCAGAGCCCGAGAGGAGGCCAGATGCAGGTTACAGCTCTCAAACACTCGCTGTGAAAAAGACCAGTGACAGACGGGGTGGTTTCGGGTGGCCCTCGGAGTTACAGCCTCCCCACCTGTCCTACCGGACCCCTCTTTTCCTCTTACTGGACTGTCAATTCCCTGAGGGCCAGTCAGTGGGAGTTTCTCCACTGCTCGTCCAGCACCAGCATAGGGTCCAGCACCTAGGAGATGCTCAGGCAATGTTTGCTGCAAGAGTTAAGAAGGGAAGAAATAATTGAATGAGACGATGAACTCCTCTGTTCTTCCACTGAGGCGTGGGTCGCGCACGTAATTAGTGAACTGGCGGGAACAGCCGGGGATTTCGAGGACGCAGCACCTCTGGACCACTCCCTGCGACCGGAGGAGGGGCGGAGCGCCACGCAAATCCCGCCCACACGAAGGCGGGACGAACAGAGAGTTCCACCCGCAATGAGGCGGGGTGTCGCGGGCAGCCCCGCCCATGAGGAGGCGGGGCCTGCGGCGCGCGGGAAGAAGCGCAAGCGGTGGCGGGAGCTGGCGGAGCAGTGGACTGACCGTGTTCCTGCAGGTACTGCTTCCCCGGCGCTGGCTCCCGCGTCCCCACTGTCTCCCTTCAGGGCGGGACGGGGCGCAAGGATCTCGCTGAGGGCGGGCTGCGGGGTCCCGGCAGAGCCCCGGAATGGCGTGCATTCGGGCGGCCGGTCCCCGCGCGGACTCCGTGCGGCCTCCTCCCGGCCAGGCCTGGTTTCGGCTTCCCGGTCGAGCGCCCAGTCCCTTGCGGCCTGGGAACGGGGGCAGGTCCCCTCTGGCCCCCTGGCCTTGGTTCCCTCCTTCGGGCGACCCCGTCCTCCTGGTGGTCCCGCCTCTGGGAGGTGGTTATCCCCCCCGCGGCCCCCTTTCCCCAGTAGGTCCCCTCCCCTAGGCGGCCTCCCCCGGGCGGCCCCTTGCCCCGGACAGCCCCTCACCCGAGCTACCCCGGCCCCAGGCTCTCCGCGAGCGCCCCCACCCCCCCCACTAAGCGGGGGCGGTCGCGCATCAGGGCCGGGCCCCTTGATTTCCTCTGCCTGGGTGTTCATTTTGCTTTTCCGGACACAGCAGTGAAAGAAGCCCAGCAGCCTCGGCTCAGTGAAGCATTTTAGGGGCACTTGCAGGGTGTTTCGAGAGAGGTCAGCAGTGACATCCTTTCCCGGTACAGCGTGCATCTTTCAGGAGCAGGGTTCCTGGCTCCTAATGAGCGTTCAGGACACCTTGCCTGCTCTGATACTCAGTTCGTTACCAACGATTTTCAGCTTTCCTCAGTCTTTGGGAAAAGAGCGGCGCCGGAGGAATTTGTTTTGCTCCTTCAAGACTCGGGAGGATGAAAGTCATTACTTGCGAAATAGCCTGGCACAACAAGGAGCCGGTGTACAGCCTGGACTTCCAGCCCGGCGCGGCCGGCCGGATCCACAGACTGGCGTCTGCGGGCGTGGACACCGCGGTCAGGGTAAACCGGGTGGGGGCGCAGAGACGTGCTGCTGAGGCCGCCTTCTCCATTTTTTCCTGGAAGACGAGTGTCAGCACACTCAGACTGTTGGGTCATCTAGCCCCGAGAGAGAGCTTCTCAGGGCCTTGACTGAACCAGAAAAGTAAAAGAAAACTTTGCTCCTGGGGAGCGGTTCCTACATTGATAGACTCCATGCTCGTTATTTTAAAATAAGCCAGTTTCTGTTGGGCAACAGTTTGCCCTAGAAAGAGGTTGGAGGGAGGGCCGCAGGCAATGGGACTGTAGTTTGTTTCAGAAAGAAGTTCATTTGATGTATCAAGAGAAAAACCGTTTTCTTCCTGATAATTAGCCTAGTCTTGTGTTTAGTAAGCACAGTATGGTAGGTGCTCATTTGTATGTTTCTCTGAACAAATGTATTTGTTATCGTCAGATCTGGAAAGTGGAGAAAGGACCCGATGGAAAGGCCATTGTTGAATTTTTGTCCAACCTTGCTCGCCATACCAAAGCGGTCAATGTTGTGCGTTTTTCTCCAAATGGGGAAATTTTAGCATCAGGAGGAGATGGTGAGTATGAGTATTATCCTTCAAAATTCCTTAGAAACCAGATATCTTTGTGTCTCATGTTAGTGAGCTCTGAGCTAGGTATGCTTTTCTATTTTAGAGGTCACTTGACCTCTCGATCTATCATTTAGATAGTTTAGTAAAAAACGTTCTGAGGAGCATGAGGGGATGGGGGATAGCAAGCTTAACCTGAGAAGAATTGGTTGTAAATGCACCCCTCTCCCCAGCGATTCCCCCTCACCCCATTCCATTGGTAGAGACAAGTAGGAAGGCGCTTACCCTTTTACTGTGTTCCAATGCAGCTGTCCTGGCCTTGTTTGATTGCTGGTTTAGTATCCAAGTGATCACAGTCTTTCCCACATCGCTCATAATTAATTAATTCACTTGGGGGAGTATTGTCTGAATGGCCCTCTAAATTATGTTTGCTTGATGAAAGTAGATTGATTCCTATTTTCTGCTTGTACTTAAATAGCATAAAACTGCTACAAAAAAAGTAAATCTCTTTACCATGCTTTGACACCAGAAGAATCTAGGAGTTACTAGAAAATAAAACACATTGCAGGTTTTATTTGCAGAAGAAGCAAAGAGATCGGGTGAAGTTCAGTGCCATGATGTCCAGGGCGTGTGTGCACAGAGGGAAAGGTGGAAAGTAGGGAGTACCACTGGGGGAGGCTGGCAGGCTGTCTGCTGAGAGGTTGCACAGGGCAGCCCTTGTTTTGCCCAGTCCTTTGGCCTTGGAGGCCCAGAAACCTGCTGTTAGCAGTGGAGAATGTCCACCTGCCAATGTCAAGGCTGATCTCGCCACCCGGCTCCCAGAATTCCTCACTTGTGCCCATACTGCCGGCTCAGTGACTGGCACTCAGAGGAAAGGCAAGTGGTGCTCAGACTTGTGCGGTGAGTTGGGGTCAGAGCTCAGGGAGTTAAGCACTCAGACAATGGATGACCTCACGCTGAGGTATCTGATGTGTCCGTATGAGTAGCTAATGTGTCCACTTGTCACCGCGGGCTAGGCATTGTGTTCTAAGTGCTTTCTGTGTATTAACTCATTTAATCCCCGAGACAGCCCTAGGAGGTAGGTATGCTGTTACCCCATTTTGCAGGTGAGGTAACTGAGGAGTCAGGACGCTAAATCCGCTGAAGCTTACACAGCTGGGAGCAATTTGCCGATCCTCGCTTGGTGGTTCTTTGTTTTTCCTTATTCGGCCATTCCAAGGCAGTGCCTAGGATTTGTTAACCTAGTTGGCTGCTTTGCAGTGTTTTCCTGGCCTGGGGACCCTTCTGTTGCACATGACGTTGGATAGCTCTGACCTGGTAGGAGCTTGATTTTGGAGTTTTAGATCAGAAGGCAAACCTGTTTTTCCTGTCCAGATTCTTAGAAGGCGCTCGCAGTGACCGTAGTATCTATTGAACAACGTAAATAGGGTTTAATGTCCTGAAAGCCCGGAAATGAAGGAGCATGCCCGAAGCATGGCTTGTCTTACCTGAATCGCTCGCTGCACAGATGCTGTCATTCTGCTGTGGAAGGTGAATGATAACAAGGAGCCGGAGCAGCTCGCCTTTCAGGACGAGGACGAGGCTCAGCTGAATAAGGAGAACTGGACTGTTGTGAAAACCCTGCGGTAACCAGGGGGGTGCCCACCGGAGTGGTTTACCCAACTGCTCCGAATGCATTCAGCTCACATGCATTTTTTTTTTTTTTAATTAAAAAAAAATTTTTTTTCTTAAGTGGGCTCTGTGCCCATCATGGGGCTTGAACTCACAACTCTGAGATCAAGCGTTGCATGCTTGACTGAGCCGTCAGGTGCCCTGCATTTTGACTTAGAAACACGATTAAAATGGATCTTTCTTTCTTTCTTACAAGAGGGTTGGCGGGGAGAGGGCAGAGGAAGAGAGAGAATTTCAAGCAGGCTCCACAACTGCCATGGAGCCAGCGCGGGGCCCCATCTCACAACCCTGAGATCATGACCTGAGCCCAAACCAAGAGTTGGATGCTTCACTGACTGGGTCACTCAGCGCCCCTCCCCCCGCCATGGGCTTTATTTCTGCTATAAAATATTCATTAGTCAGACTGAACCAGTTACAAAGCTGTAACTACCCCTGAAGATAGCAGACCCTAGCTGTAGCTGATCTAGTTCCAGTGAACATTTCTAAAATCCTAATGTATGGTCTCCGAGTGTGCCTGTAAATTTTTGATGGTCTTTCTCTCATTGAGATTTGCCTTTTCCCTTCCTTCTCCTCTTTGGACTCCAGGGGCCACTTAGAAGATGTGTACGATATCTGCTGGGCAGCTGACGGGAATTTGATGGCTTCTGCCTCTGTGGATAACACAGCCATCATATGGGACGTTGGTAAAGGTAGCGGACGCATTTCTATTATTGTCAGGGGGAAGGAATCTTGTAAGTGGCTAAAAGGTCTAATCTGCTTTATCTGTTTTTATTATTATTATTATTATTTTTTTTAAAGATTTTATTTATTTGTCAGAGAGAGAGAGGGAGAGAGAGCAAGCACAGGCAGACAGAATGGCAGGCAGAGGCAGAGGGAGAAGCAGGCTCCCTGCCGAGCAAGGAGCCAGATGCGGGACTCGATCCCAGGACGCTGGGACCATGACCTGAGCCGAAGGCAGCTGCTTAACCAACTGAGCCACCCAGGCGTCCCTTATTATTATTATTTTTTAAAGATTTTATTTATTTGAGAGAGAGAGAGGGCATGGGGTCAGAGGGACACGGAAAAGCAGACTCCCTGCTGAGCTGGGAGTCCAGTGTAGGGCTTGATCCCAGTACTCTGGAATTGAGACCTGAGCCCAAGGCAGACGCTTAACCGCCTGAGCCACCCCGGCGCCCATAACCTGCTTTATCTTAAAGGCATAAGAAGAGTTTTTGAGTGAACTAAAATGGGTGTCTGGCTCAGCAGCGGTGGGCGCCTGTGTCATGGACCCAACTTAGTTTCAGGGTCCCAGTCCAAGTGTTGGCGGCCTGGCCGTGGTGCCAGAGCAAAGTCTGTCCCACATTCATGAGGATGGGGACATGTTGGGGGCAGGGCTCACCTTATTGGAACTCAGGGTCTTGGGCAGTTTAGCCCGTTGTCGCCATTGATGGGTACTGAACGCGCCATATTGGGAAGGGTAGGACCAGGTGTCTGTTTGGGAGCGAGGACAGCTGAGGACACCTCGCTCATTTATGGAACCTGTTCTCTAGTTGGGGAGATAGTAGATGTGTGAGAAGTTACAAAAATGGCCAAAAGTGTGTGGCCAAAAGCCAGTTAGTGCCTAACACATGACCGTTTTTGCCTTCTGCACACGGTTACTCAAACTTGATGTTTCCTCGCAGCCTCTTACTGTGCTCCCGGCTGGTGCTCCTGTAGCCTGAGAGCACTGGGAGGGAATCAGGCTGGAGAAGGCATCCCCTTGCGCCTCTGGATTATCCACTCTGTGACATTCTGTTTGTTGGAGGTCCTGCCATCCAGCCAAACCCCTCTGTCTTGCCCCACCTTGGTCATGTTCTTACTCAGTCCCCGACCTCGGCAACATGGACGGCCAGTATCCCTGTCGTCTTCTCTTCCCTACATCAGGCCATTGATCCGGATAATTTCAGCATCTGTGTGGACTGTCCACCCAGCTGCCCCCTGAAGCCACTTGTAATGAACTTGGATGTGGCCAGGTCATTACTTCCTACAAGATGGTGGCTGCATTCTGGTGGGGTGTCGGATACACAGCGGGTGTGACGTCGGTAGCCATAGTGCCAGGAAAGCTGCCCTGAGCCCCAGGAGCATGAGCAGGCGAGGAGGGCATGGGCATCCCTTTGGGGACGAGACTGCAGCGCGTGGGAGCAGCAAGTGCAGGGGCCCTGCGGGGAGCCACTCGGGCCCCCGGGCAGGTCGCTTACAAAGTGCCTCTTCAGAAACCCCCACACTCACACACCGTCCTAACGGCTCAACTGTGGGTTAAATAGACTCTCTGGTGTCTGAGGAGATGCTGACACCCAGCCCCTGGCCACCTTCATGTCACACACTCCCTGAAAGACTTGCAGGACGGCTTGGGGTGGGGGAGTTACCGTGAAGCACATTCGCTGAGTTTCCCGGACATCGGCTGGGTCACGGGGTTGGGGGAGCAGAAGCCCGACTGTAGACGGCCGAGCGAGTGTAGACTCCTTTTCAGAGAAGAGGGTTTTGGGGTTATTTTTTTGTTTTTGCTTTGAATGGCCGGGGTTTGTGCCTTCCTCCTCCTTTTATCCAGGTAGCCCCTGTGCACTGCTGGCTTAATGTTTTTCCAGAGTCCCTTTTCCATCCCTGCTTTTTGCTCGGGCCTTCGCCTCCAGCCTGGCCTGCTGTCACCTCCAAACTAGGGTACAGCCTGTGTTCTCTGTGAACCTTGGTTTCGTCTTCTTCGTGCATGTTACTTCCCAGCCGAGTGTTGCTCTCGGCCACAACTTGAATTAGCAGAACCTTTTCTTTCCTTGTCCACAAGGGTTGCAGTCACATACCTCCTGTCCTCCCTGTCTTGCCATTTTGGCCATGGACATGACCCTCTAGCATTCTCCCTTACTTATTAATAGCTCCATGTGCCTAAGCCGTCCTCCCCTCCCGCCATGGATCTGCTCACAGTAGCTGCTCCTTCAGGAACCCCCCCCTCGTCGTGCCCGACCTAGAGAGCTGAACTTGGCTTGTCCCCTTCTTGACCCTTGCTGCTACCCCAGCTGCTGTCCCTCTGTGTCCCATGTGGCCCGTCAATGGGTGTGTCTCTCCCCTGAAGCTGCGGGCTCCTTGCGAGTGTGGGCTGTGTGAGGTCCTCTTTGTCTCCCCAGAGCCGACAGAGCGCGGGGTGCAGAGGTCCTCCGGAACTACCTGTGGGATGAGGGAGCGGGATGAAGGGCATCATGCTTAAACTGTAGTTGACTCCGCTTGTGCGCGAGTAAGTTTCCGTAATGCTGTTGTGTGCTTTGTGTGCAGGACAAAAGATCTCCATCTTTAATGAACATAAAAGTTATGTCCAAGGAGTAACCTGGGACCCTTTGGGTCAGTATGTTGCTACCCTGAGCTGTGACAGGTATGTCCATGTTTGGCAAGTTGTCTTCTTTGTTGACTTAAATTTTCCGCAGAGTGTTTTCATCCCCACTTACTCAATAATAAAGCAAAGTCAAGGTTTGGTTCATCCATCTGCCCGTCCATCTGGCCATCCATCCATCCATGTTCTTGGTTTCTTATAAAGCATTTGGTTTTAATGTTATTCTTAAACCATAACAAGACATTGGAAACTAATTAGGGTCAGTGGCTTATACGTAGTGCTTAGTAACTCTTTATCAAATGGGTGAATGAATGCATAGAGAGCTTTGAATTACATATGAATTTCATGGGCAACTTTTAAAGAAAAAGTGTTTTATGTAAATATGATATGCAAGAAGGGGTACCTAATGATGGGGTTCAATGTTTCTTCTTTTCTTAAGATTTTATTTATTTTTTTTCAGCCTAACAGTATTTATTGTTTTTGTACCACATTTAAGTAATCTCTACACCCACCACAGGTCTCAAACTCACAGTCCCCAAGATCAAGTCATATGCTCCATCAATTGAGCCAGCCAGACACCCCTGTTTCATTTTTTGATTATAGTTTACTGCAGTGATTTTAATGACTCCACTTAATGTAAATGTAAAATATTTTGTCATTTTTGAAAGGAGGTTTTGTTGCTGTGTTTACTGGTGTCCTGCATTTAGTTGTGTTCTTGGAACAAAGAACATCTGAGGTGCTAGATATATTACTCCTTGGTCAAGATAGCCCTTTTGAGTTTTTATCTAACTACTTTTATTTGTTTTATTTATTTTCTATTTTTTAATTAACATATAATGTATTATTAGCCCCAGGGATACAGGTATCCAACTACTTTTAATGATAACACCTTTGATTCCAGATGGCCCCGCAATGTGGAAGAGTTAGGAGAGGCTATGAAAAGGAAACACTTTTATATTGTATGTGCATTTATTTTCTGATCTTGTTGTTTTATTCATTATGGGAATAATATGGATTAGCAACAACCAAATTTATATGCTGGTGTTTCCCTCACTCGTGCAAATCCCTGAGTGCAAGACTGTTTGAAACAAATGTCATTGTAGTCCCACAAATCGCTACTGGGCCAAGTGTCCGAAGCCTGAAGGGGCCAGGCCTAACGTATGTCTTACTTGACCAAGTTGAAACATTCGATAAAAAAAGTTATGACCTAGTTCCTTACTGCACTAGTGACCGGCCTCAGGGGGTTTGCTTCCGTCACAGTGATTAATGTGTGACAGTGTGACGACTGGCACTGTAAGTGGTCTTGCAGACTGACATTGTTCAGTTTTGATACTGGATTGCCTCTGTGTGAAACACTTCTTTCGCTAGAAGAGATCAGTCAGAATCTTCTTCTTTCTTTAGGATCCTGAGGGTATACAGCACCCAGAAGAAACGTGTGGCTTTTAATGTCTCAAAAATGCTGTCTGGAATAGGGGCAGAAGGCGAGGTACAAGCTGTTCGTCCTACCTGAGCGGGGCTTCAGTTGATGTGGGGGGGGTCCCGAGCTCCTCCGCGTCTTACGGCTAAACCACTGGTCTCGGGCCCCCGACGCTTGAACTACCTTATACTTTCTCGGATCCGGTCAAGGCTCAGTTAGGCCACTGGGCTGGTCTGCATGGAACTGGGAACATCCAGGGGCCGGGGGAGAGCTGCTGATGGTGGACAGAGGTGTTCAACCCTGGCTCAGTGTGGAGTCACCTGGAAGCATTAAGAAATATGGGTGCCCGTCCACCTCCCCCAGAAGTGATTTGCTTGGCTTGAGGTTGGCAAGGCCCCTATGGGATCCTGAGGTGTAGTGAGGGTCAAGAACTCTTGACCTAGGGGGACCCCAGCACTATGCAACAGGAAGGCAGGTGGGTCAAGTGTCAGGTTGTCTGGCCAGAGGCCATATGCCACCCTGGCCGGTATGGAGAGAATATTGCTGGGGAACAGTGGAGACCTGGCCAGTGGTCCTGGAGGAATAAGACTACAGACGCAGGCACTTAAGGCAAAAGGGAACAGGTCGGTCACTGGAACAAAACAGGGACGTGATATGAATCCTGTCCTCAGGCAGCCGACTAAGGCCGGATGGGCCATGACTGATGACACAGGAGAGCTCCCCTACAGTGAGGAGGGACACGCTGGGTCTTTGGGTCCTGGAGACCTAAATGCTTAGTGTTTATCAATGTCCGTGAGTCCGAGCAAAAACCAACCCACAGGTGTTCAAGACACGTTTGGAAAGATGGATTACCAGTGTAGCGGCCGGCGATTTTCTCCATACGAAGTGTTCGTTAAGTTGGGAATTCTGAGTGGGCACACACAGAGAACAGAGGGCCCCTGGTTGTCGTCTTGCATTCCTCCCTCCCCCGTCTCAGTCTCCAAACCACTGCTGACCGTGTGCTGTGTCCTCAGAGAGGCTTTTTAAAACAACAACTATAGAGCTGCACACATACACACACACGTAGACCCATGTACACACACAGCTTTCCTTTTTTTAAAAGATTTTATTTATTTGAGGGGGGAGGGGCAGACAGTGGGGACGCAGGCTCCCTGCTGAGTAGAGAGCCCCACGCAGGATTCGATCCCAGGACTCTGAGATCGTGACCTGAGCTGAAGACAGATACTTAACCGGCTGAGCCACCCAGGCGCCCCAACACACACAGCTCTCCTTAATGCAAATGCATGGTTAGTGCTCACAAGACCCTTGCAGTTTTGTTTTTTGTTTTTTTTTAAGATTTATTTTAGAGAGAGAGAGTAGGGGTGGGGGTAGAGGGAGAGAATCTCAAACAGACTTGCTGCTCACTGCGGAGCCTGATGATGGGGCTCGATCCCAGGCCCCTGAGATCATGATCTGAGCCAAAATCAAAAGTTGGACACTTCACTGACTGAGCCACCCAGGGGCCCCTACTCCTGTAGTCTTGAGTGGTTATTTGACTTATATTTCATCTTTTATTATGTGACTAATAAATGATACTGTATAAAATTAAAAAAAAAAAAACAAACCTGATAAGCCTTTCTTGTGAATGTAAGACTTGGATTAGTGTTGGAACTTGTGTGCCGCAGGCGAGAAGTTACCGGATGTTTCATGACGACAGCATGAAGTCATTCTTTCGTCGACTGAGTTTTACTCCTGATGGATCTTTGCTCCTCACACCAGGTGGGTTTCACAAGCTTTTTTTTGGTTTGTTTTTAAAGATTTTATTTAGCCATTTAGAGAGAGCATGAGTGGGGGAAGGGGCAGAGGGAGAGAGAGAATCCCAAGCAGTCTCTGCCTTGAGTATGGAGCCTGTCACAGGCTCAATGTCATGATCCTGAGATCGTGACCTGAACCAAAGTCAAGAGTCGGACGCTTAACTGACTGAGCCACGGGTGCCCCAAGAATAGTTTTAGAAGTATGAAAAATAATAGTACTGGGGCTCCTGGGTGGCTCAGTGGTTAAGCCGCTGCCTTCGGCTCGGGTCATGATCTCAGGGTCCTGGGATCGAGCCCCGCATCGGGCTCTCTGCTCAGCAGGGAGCCTGCTTCCCTCTCTCTCTCTGTCTCTGCCTGCCTCTCTGCGTACTGTGATCTCTCTCTGTCAAATAAATAAAATCTTAAAAAAAAAAAAAAAAGAAAAAGAAAAATAATAGTACTTGAGCAGATGTTTGCCTGACTGAAGTCCCACATCGGGCTCCCTGCTCAGTGGTAAGCCTGCTGCTCCCTCTCCCACTCCCCCTGCTTGTGTTCCCTCTCGCTGTGTCTCTCTCTGTCAATTAAATAAATAAAATCTTTAAAAAAAATAAAAGGTGAACATGTAGGAGAACATCCTAGGAATAGGGACGATTTTGATGGCATTTGGCTGGGGAACCTTTGTACAGCAAAGACCCTGTAAGCAAATCAGTCAACAAATAACAGAACTGAAAAATTCTGTTTACAGTCAGGAAAGAGCTTATGTACATCACATACAGTGGCTCTTTCAAATTGAGAAAAAAGAAAAACCCAAAAGAAAGAAAATGAGTGAAAGATACAAGAAGGCAGATTAATGCATTCAGCACACACAGGATAATGTTCGGACGCTCAGTGACAGAGAAACAGAAATTAAAGTGACACACAGCTAGGTATCTCTTTATTATTTTCAGACTAGAAAAAAGTGAAAATACCTGCTGCTGATGGGCAAGCAGAACATGGGTATTGCTGGTGGGAAAGGTCACAGCCCTTTCAGGAAACAGTCTGGTCACCGTCACATGCATGTCCTCGTCAGCCCATCTGCCCCTCGTCTTAGCGTCAGTCTGTAAGAAATGAAACCTAGTATGACAGAGTCTATTTTCGACCGTGTCTATTGTTTCTATCTCTGGACCAACAGTACTGATTAACGAGACGGGTGAGTGAGCTACGGTGTTCTCACCGCCGTGAAGGTCAGGCAGTTAGTAAAAAGCTGCATGACCCAGGTTAGTGCTGGTTAGTGGTCGGCAGAGCAGAGCAGCAGCAGGAGAGGAGTAGACAAGACCCCGATTCTGTGAGCTGCGCTGAAAACCCTACAGGGGGAAGAGACAGTTGAGTCATAACTGACGGTCGTGGTTGCACGAGCGTGGAGGGAAGGCAGAAAGGCTCCACGGCTTGTTCAGGTGGGCCGGGCGGGGAGGGCCTCTGCGCGCACCGGTGGGGATGGAGTGGTCGCAGGTGAGATGTCTGGTGTGTGGGTATCAAGAAAGAGGTGTCCAAGGGCGGCTGTGGTCAGCAGTCCTGCGTTGCCTGGGGCTGGCCTTGTCTTAAGGACATCCTGGGGTGTGTGTGGAAGAGCTCCAGCGTGGGCTGTCCCCAGAGCAAGGTCAGCTGCTGCGGGGGGCCGAGGCTGTAGCAGAGGCCTGGATCCCCCGGTAGCCTCCTGGCCCCCCGCGAGCACGTGGGAAGGAGCAGAGCAGACACAGGCCTCTAGGCTCAAACCCGGGGACAGAGCTGGGGGGATCTCGAGAGAGCGCTTCTCCGGGAGGAAGTGGCCGGTCTCCCTGGTGGACATCTTCATAGCCAGGGGCCCCTGCTCTGTCCTTCCTGCCCAGGCCCGAAGCCGCCCTGGCTGGGTGGGCCGCTCAGGGGAGGGGACAGGCAGGTAGAGCCTGGAGTATGCACCGAGCCCAGACTGGGGCTGTTCGTATTTGTCCTCAGTCACAGAAGCATTGTCTGGGGCAGACAGCTTAGCTGGGGAGAATATTTCACAAGCCCGGGATGGATGCTCCCGAGTTTCTCTGCCTCCGTCTAATAAAACTTTGCCTCTTCTCCCTCTCCCTGCTTCCCCAGCTGGATGTGTGGAATCTGGCGAAAACGTAACAAATACGACTTATGTTTTCTCCAGGAAAAATCTTAAAAGGTACGCAGTTGAAGAAATCGTTGACATGTTGACCCTTTCTTTTTGCTCTTGGTGAGTAACCATGCCCTTTCTAAAAAGGTCATGACCCATTTTCCAGGCCTATCGCTCATCTTCCATGTCCTGGCAAAGCGACGCTTGCTGTCCGCTGCTGTCCCGTCTACTTTGAGCTGAGGCCCGTGGTGGAACAAGGTATGCTAGAGGCACAGCAGTAGTGTTATGGGTCGTGACTCTTTTTTTTCTTAAAGATTTTATTTATTTATTTGACAGCGAGAGACACAGCGAGGAGGGAACACAAGCGGTGGGAGTGGGAGAGGGAGAAGCAGGCTTCCCGTTGAGCAGGGAGCCCGATACGGGGCTCGTTCCCAGGACCCTGGGATCATGACTTGAGCTGAAGGCAGACGCTTAAAGACTGAACCACTCAGGCGCCCCGTGATTTGGTTTTATCTTGTGGGGAAACATACGTGGGTTTGGTTCAGTTTGGTTACTCGGGAGAGCTGGAGCAAAGCCCGGTGTTCTCAGAATGTGTGTTCATTTTTTGCATTGTCCCGAATACACTTTCTTCACTTAAACTTTAAAAGAAGAAAAGTACTCGTATTTTTCGGCTGAAGCAGTCGAATGTCGTTCATCTATTCCTATGCGGTGAAATTATGTTTGAACTGGATTTTGGGGGTTTTTTTTTTTAGTTTTTTTCCCTCCATGTACACATGAAATCTTGTCCGTGGCTTTAACCAGTCAGATCACAACGGGCCTTGGTGTGGTTATCCACAGGTTCCTCGTGTTGGGGGTTCCTTGAGCTCTTAGATCTGTGGGTTTATAGTTTTCACCAAGTTTGAGGAATTTCAACCATGTTTTTCTGTCCTGCCCTGTCCTCTCCACTGGGTTCCACCTACACGTGTGTTAGGTCACTTGATGTCACCCCCAGCTTCCTGGGGGTCAGGCTGCCTGTTTTTCTCCCTCTTGGCGTCACCATTTTCTGTGTTACAAATCCCACGTCTCTACTTAGCGTGCTCCATCTTTCCTCTTGCTTCTCGAACACGCAGAATACGGTGTCTGTAGTGACTCTCAGTGTCTTTGCGTACAGAGGATTGGCTTTGATTTCCCCCTTCATTATGGGTCATAGTTTCTTCTTTGCGGGCCTGGTAATTCTCTATTAGACGCCAGACGTTGTGAACTGTACCTTCGTGGATGCTGGATGTATTTTTACAAATATTCTTGAGCTTTATTCTGGGATGCGGGGAGGTTACTTGGAAATACTGAGCTACTTCTCTTCGTTAGACCAGACCCCAGTGGCCTTTGGTCTACAGCTAATTGCCCCATGACTGGCCTGACGTGTGCTCACCAGAGCCCCGTGAGCTAGGTTTTCCACCCTGGCTGGAGGGGGCTCCGGGAATGGCTTTCCTGTGGTTCTTGCTCAGTCCTGGGGTGGTTTCCTCACATGATCATGCCCATCCGTGCTTGGCTGGAGACAGAAAAGGCCCTGTGAGCTCCGGCCGCCCAGGCCTCCCGCTCCCAGCTCCCACCTGTTGGCTCGGGCTGGCTGCTGCGGGCTTCTCTCTACCTTTTCTGGGACCAGAAGCTCCAGGTGGTAAACTGAGGCAGATGTAGGCCTTCCTCTTCACTTCCCGTCCCTCAGGAATCGGTGTCCTTCAGTGCCTGGTGGTTGAGGTCTGGAAGGCCGTCATGTGGAATATTCTGCCTGGTGTTGGTTGCTCCAGGTGGGAGGGTAAATCAGGTCCCTGCTCCCCGGGGCCGGAAGCGGTGGTTTTTAACTCCTTAATCCTTGATGTGAATGCGTGTAACGAACTGAAGGACCGTTAAAGTGTCACTTCACAGAATGTTTCTCGGTGACCCTTGTTTTTCCTTCTCCAAAAGCGGCCCCTCAGCCTGCCCTGTTTCATTCCCACGTCTGGTCCTGGCCTTTTGAACCTCCTTTGGGGCCTCCGACTCTCGGGTCAGGACACAGCGTCCTCGCCGATTCCTGTGTGGTTCTCTTCAGACCTGGCCTTCAGTGAAATGATGCTGTTTATGTCCCTGGAGAGAGGGCTTTGGAGGAATGCGTTTGCATTTGCTCCTTGTTTCCTGTCCTTTGTCTCCCCCCCGCCCCCCGCCCCAGCAGACGGACCCTCGCAGGAGCCGGGCGTGGAGCTGGTGCACCTGCCTTACCGCTTGGTGTTTGCTGTGGCTTCCGAGGACTCGGTGCTCTTGTACGACACCCAGCAGCCCTTCCCGTTCGGCTACGTGTCTAACATACATTATCACACCCTGAGCGATGTGTCCTGGTGAGTGGCCGGCAGGGAGGAGGTGTGCAGTGTGGTGCCCTGGAGTGGACCCTGGGGTCGGGAGCATTTCAGCACTAGAGCTGGCTTTTTGGGCCCATATTTACCAATTTCTTCTTTTTAAGGTTTATTTATTTGAAGGGCACCCCCAGATAGTTGAGCATCTGCCTTTGGCTCAGGTCATGATCTCGGGGTCCTGGGATTGAGTCCCAATTCCCGGCTCAGTGGGGAGCCTGCTTCTCCCTCTCCCTCTGCTGCTCCCCCTGCTTGCTCTGTCTCTCTCTCTTAAATAACATCTTTAAAAATAAAAATTAAAATTAAGATTTGAGGGAGAGATTGTGTGCACGCACAAGCAGAGGGGAAAGAGAGAGAGAATCTTCAGCAGGCTCCCAGCTGAGCACAGAGCCCAATACAAGGCGCGATCCCAGGACCCCAATATCATGCCCTGAGCTGGAACCAAGAGTCAGACACTTAACTGACTAAGCCACCCAGGCGCCCCTACCAATACCTTTTTAAAGGAATTAGCATTAAAAGGAAAGCCACTTCTGCTTTGCTAGAATACCATTTCCTAGTGTAACAGTAACATCTGAATGAAGCCGTTCCTATGTCGTGGGGATTCCTCTAATTCTCAAACTGAGGGGAGGCCCCGTGGGGTCCCTGGTTGTTGGGGACTTGCCAGGCCCCCCTGGCAGGAAGCCCGCACCCGTGAGCTCCTGTCCCCCAGAACCATGGTTATCCGTGGTGTCACTCTGCCTTCTGCTAAGGTCCTCTGCGCCCCCAGGTTCCCTGGTTTACCCCCACCACCTGCTCATGCCCAGCTCCGCCGGGCCTGCCCTCTACCATCTCCTTCTTGCTCTTTATAACCTTTTTCCTTCTTTTCCTTCTTGGGTGGGGGTGGAGAAATGTCCCTGAACCTTCCTTTGGGTGATTTTGGTGACAGTCCTGAGATGTCGCAGTGCCTGAGAAAGTTGAGCTGGGGCGGGAGGGAAAGGGTGGGTGTGAGGCGCACACAAACCCTTCTCCTTTCACACGAAGCCTGTGAGTCTATGAACTTGCATTTTCTAGTGATTAAAGAGAGCCTTAAGAGGGGCACCTGGACTTTGGTACAGTTTCTAACCTTTTCTCCTGTTCGGGTAACCAAGGTCCAGTGACGGGGCCTTCCTGGCCATCTCCTCCACGGACGGCTACTGCTCCTTCGTGACGTTTGAGAAGGATGAACTTGGAATACCTTTGAAAGAGAAGCCGGTTCTAAGCGTGAGAACTCCCGACACAGCAAAGAAATCGAAAAGCCAGGGGTCTTCGCCAGGACCCAGGCTGGCGGAGGGGACCCCCACCGGCAGAATCCAAGACCCCAGCAGTCCCGGCACACCCCCGCCTCAGGCGAGACCATCTCCAGCCCCCGCAGCGCCTTCAGAGGAGAAGAAGGCCCTGCAGCCTAGCACTCAAAACCCGAGAGCGCCCCCATCCCGGAGGGTCACTGTGAACACGCTGCAGGCCTGGAGCAAGACGACACCCCGGTAAGAGCTTCTGGCAGGAGAACAACTTGTCATTGCGGCCGAAAAACAAAATAGAAACCAGAAGGCCCCAACCTCAAACTGGGGACATCCCATAAGGGCTTCTGATGCGGCCAGAGAGACTTCAGAACCGACCTGAGTGCCACCCCCCTGCTTCCAGACCTCTGTCGTGTCCCCATTCCCACCTGTGAGGGGCGTCCCAGAGCCCGGTGCGCGACACACGGGCCGACTTGGCCGCAGCCCACCGCCCAGGTTTTGGAACTTTCCCTAGTAGAAACCATGTCCGCTGGCCTTCCGTACGCGGTGCGCACAGGTGTTCGTCATACCACTGGAGCGGGACAAAATCACAGGTTCTGAGAATTTAGATGACAGTTAAGGTTGGACTGTTGTAAATGTGGTGATTGAACTTAGTAACGGAACACAGTCCTTAGTTACTCAATACGTGGGCACATCAGCTTTTAGTGCCTTGTGTCATCCGGTCAGCTGGAAATTTTAAATGTTTCCTTCAGGTAGTTTTGAGATTTGTTGTCACAAATGATTCCTAGGACACTAATGAGCCGTGTATCCCTGTTTTTTTAATCAAGGAGGATAAACTTAATACCCTTAAAGACAGATACTCCACCGCATTCTGCACCAGCCAGTGTAATTTCCAGCCCTTCCACAGAAGAAATTCAGTCAGGTGAGTGTTACTGTGACTGGTTTAATATAATTAAAGATAGAATACCTTCTTTTGTTCTCTTGGAAATGAACCACGTAGTTTAAGTCCGTTCTGAGAAAGCAGGGATGCCTCTTACCAGAACCATCGTTCAGACACCCTGGCCATCTCGTCACACTCAGCAGGGCGCCCCCCTTCCCATGCAGCCACTCCCGGGAAATGAGTAGATGGAGGGTTTGGGGGGAACTAACCTGCTGGGCTGGAGAATTCTTTGTTGTGGGGTCGTCCTCTGACTGTAGGCAGGCGGCACCCCTGGATGCCTGTACCCAGCCCCCCTCCAACCCCCACCAACTTGGGACATTCTCAAAGGTCACCAGACACTGCTCCCTGTTCCCTGAGAGGCGAGGTTGCCCCCCACCGAGAACCACAGGATCCTTCTCTTATATCCATATAGGCCCTTTGCCAGGCAGTTCAGTTCTTGTCCGGGCACAAAATTTATTTTGTAAACATCACTTTTTTTCCCTAAGATTTAGTTATTTGAGAGAGAGAGTGCGCAATCAGGTGTGTGGGGTGGAGCAGAGGGAGAGGGACTCTAGAGCAGACCCTGCACTGAACGCGGGGCTCGATCTCAGGACGCTGGGCTCATAGCCTGAACTGAAGCCACGAGTCAGACGCTTGACCAACTGTGCCACCCAGGGGCTCTGTCAACACCAGCTCGTCATTTTAAACAAGTGTTCACTTACATGTCAACCTGTTGTTTGCTAACGTTCCAGAGATGCCCGGAGACCCTCAGGGCAGCCCTCCGGAGCTCAAGCGGCCTCGACTTGGTGAGCGCGAAGGAAGTCCCCAAGGTCTGGACCCTTGATGAGACCTGCCTGGTGCTTGAGGCCTGCCAGGTCCAGGGACCCCCGTGTGCACGGCGCGGGTGGCCGGGCCGGAGACACCGGAGACTAGCGGCGTTAGGCGGAGCCTGACGGACACCCGGGGACTGACTTGTGTAACAGAAGGTACACAGGGACCAGTTTTCCTGCAGAACTATGTTTGCTCTTGTACTCAAGATACATTTTTACCTCGGCCTTGGGAACATTTTAATAGACTAAATCCTCTTTTTGATGAGTTTCTGAAGCTGGAACAGTTCCACGTTATCTAGTGTGAAACCGTGAATCCTCCCTCGAAAATTTGTGAAAGTTGAGACACAACACGGGCGGACTCCTCCTGACGCCGGAATGAGAAAGAGGAGAAAGGTGTTTGAGAAGGTTTATTCCGTCGAACTGACCTTCTGTGTAGTTGATTTTTAGGAGTGAGTTTGCTAGTTTGCTTGCTGATTCTCAAGGTAGACTTGTTCTGGAAAGTTAGGAAGTGAGAATAAAGTAGGGAAACCGGGTCAGAGATGGGATTCCGTGACCATCAGAAGGAACCTGGTTGCTGTTCAAGCATATTTATTTCCTTGCCTTTTTTTCCCTTAGGGAGAGAATTGAGATTTCACTTTAGCTACAGCTTGGTATCCAAATAGATTGACTTTTCACATTGATTTTTCAGAGTAAAAGAACTTAGCAATTTGTGCCTCTGCCTTTGCTTTCCCCACCCGGGGGCCGTGGGTGCGTTCTCCCTTTCTGCGGGGAGTAAACCAGGGTTGTGGGCTGGGGGGCACGCAGGAGGCACTGCCGACGCATCTCATGGTCAAAATCTCGAAATGACAGGCATGCCAAAACGCCCGTCATTTTGGCAGAATGACCACCGTGAGTCGTGTAGGTGGGGCTCCCCCACCCCAGATTCCTTTCCAGTCTGGGAGAGCTCGCAGGGAGCACCCAGGTCAGGTCTGACGGGAAGTGGCTGAGGAGCGGATCAATGTGGCCCCTTTGAACTCAGGTCAGCAGCAGCAAAGGAAAGAACTGGAAAAAGGATCAATCTGGTGCTTAATCCATAACCTGGTTAACCAGAGAAAGAGCTTGCCTCCCTTTCAGAGGGGAAGTGGCTCACGAGAAAAAAGGTACAGTGTAGAGAGCTAGAAGGTGGTTCGGTGGAGAAGAACTAGAAGGTTCAAGCTGCCCACAGAGTCTAAGCTGTGATGACACGGGCGTGGGGCACATTCAGCGTGAGGACACTAAAATGTCAGGTGGTCTCTGTTCTCACCAGTGATTCTTAACCTTTGCTGCGCGCTGAAATTGCTCAAAGAACTGACTGGAGTATTGAGGCCTGGGTACTCCCTGCACAGGGGGTGGCCTAACAGGACGGGGGCACTGTCAGCGGTCTTGAAAGCTCCAGGTCATTTGGGGCCGCAGCCAAGACTGGGAAATCCTAAGGGAAAAGCTCTCCCCGGGTCTGGTCTCTTCTGGTTAAACCATTTCCACCGACAGCTTTCTCTTGCTTATTCTCTGTGTCCTCACTGATTGGTAGCCTGAGACGTTCATGGGTGGGAGATGCTCTCAGCTCTTCAGAGAAGAAATATGTTACCTTTCCTGCGGCCAGAGTGAGGGGTGTTCTGTGGTCACCGATCCGTGGGCAGAGGCGTGATCGTGGGTCCCGTGTTCTCGGTGCGTGAGCCTGCTTTCCTGGCCACGCTCCGGACTTGGCTACACGTCTGTCTCTTGTGCAACAACTGTGGGGGTGCGGAGGGGAGGGCAAGGGCACCTTCAGCCTGAAGCGTGAGTGTCTGGGCAGAACTAGTCTGTCAGCGATCACTGAATATAAATTCCAGAATAGTCGGTAAAAGCCCAGACGATGTTGGATCCGTGTCCCGAGCTAAAACGGTCTGCTTCCAGCCGAGCATTTACTGGGGACCCTTCTGCAACAGGAGCCCGGGGGGGAGGGTCCTGCAGGGTCCCTTCACACAATGTCACTGTGAGCGCGGCTCCCCAGCGGGGGGTCTGCCACCCAACAGGGTGCCTGTTCCTGTGGCCCACAGCGGCGACCCAGCCCACAGCCTCATATCAGGAGCCGCCTCAAGCGGGGCGTCCACCAGGGCAAGGACGCCGCAGCGGAGAGACAAAGCACTGTCAGCAGAGCGGTTGTCCCATCCAGTCCCCTTACTCATTTTCGTCCCTCGCCGGGAGTACTCCCACCTGCATGTTCCCGATGCTGAGGACCCTTCTGAGCAAAACAGCTGTCAGTTCCACTTTAGCAAGTAGGTCCTGAGTCCTCGGCTCTGGAAGTGGGGAGAGGCGACTGGCCCAGCCCTTTGCACCCGGGTCTTGAGAGCCTGCAAGTTCCCTTTGTCACCCTACTGTGGTTCAGTGTGCGGCCTCCCACCTGCTGTGTGCACGCATCTCGGGGAGGCAGGCCTCGGACAGACGACTTCACCAAAAGCAGTTTCTTGACGGCTCTTCAAGCTTTCACTTGTAGGGACTTTCACCTGGCAGGGACCAGGGTGAAGAGAGAAGGCAGGACGACAGAGAGGAGAAATCGAACAGGGTAAATGGGGTCTCATGGTGTCTCACATGTGGAAGGAACAGGTCCCTGTACCCCCACAGGAGCTCTCAGGGCTGCCAGCAGTCACTGTCCCCGCTGTCCCCTTGAAGGCTCTCCCAGCCACACGGCCCACCCCTCTAGGGTGGTGGTCCCAGTCCTCGGAGCAGGCTTGGCCAGAGTGGCCCTTGACACTGGTTTCAGCCCCTGGTGGCTTGTCCTAGAGGAGCGTGGCTCAGCGGATTGGGGTGGGAGCGGGTGAAGAAAGTAACGTGAGGCTCCATGTCTCCGTCCGTCCATTCATTCTAGAAACGTTTATCTAGAAATCATCTAGAAACACCCGGGCACCAGAGCACACATTAGGGAACAAGAGAGAACCCTCCTCCTGGAGCTTACGTTCTGGCTGGAGGAGACCAGCAATAAAACAGGTCCGTCTGCGTTAGAAGAGGACTATGGGAAGAGGGAGAGGCAGGCTTTGGGAGGGCTGGGCGCGGGGGCTTGCCACGGGCAGCAGGACCGGCCCTTCTGCGGGGGCAGCAGCAAGCAGGTCAGGTGTCCCAGCTCTCCCAAGAGCAAGATCACCTCCTCAGCGACAGGCTGGGTGTTTCGGGCTCCCCTGCATGCAGGCTCCTCCTGAGCGATGGGGACATGGCTCGGGTGGCCCAGCTCTGGTCCAGGGGGACCACTGCCCTGTCGTCATCGGGGTAGGGAAGGCGCCTGCCACGTTCCAGTGGCCACGGAAGCTTCCTCAATCGTATTTCAGTCTCTTCCATCAGCTCAAAGCCAGAGGCATACGTCACACAGCCTTGTCTTCCATGTCCTGCTCTGAAGCAAATCCTAGAAGGTTTCGACCTCTCGCTGTCAGAGGCGGTGGCCGCAGAAGGCATTGCCCTCAGCTCAGCCTCTGCACCCGAAGTCTTGCCCTCCTCAGCACAAACGAGCAGCTCGCAGAACAAAGTACTCTAACTTGGGTCCCCACATTAATCCCGGTTTATTCCCTTGCATTTTAGCTCGGAGACTGCCCCATTCAAAGCTGTGGTAACAGGTGCTTAGTGGTTGTGTGGGGTTCAGGACCTGGCCTCGTTTCTTAATACCCCAGGTGACTTGATGTCTCCTTCTGTCACTGCACGTTAGCTGGGAAGGGCATTTCAAGGGTAATAACAAGACTTTGGAACATCTTGGGGTCTCCCCGCTCTGGGTCAGTGCCCCTGGCAGGTCCCTGGAGAAACGCATGCCTGGGAGTCGCTGCTGTCACCAGTCCCCCTAGACATTCTTTCCCGCACAGGTGCCTCTTCTGTCCCTGTCCCCACCTGCCCGCCAAGTACAAGGAGCACCACTCCTTCCTGTCCCTGTACCAGGTCACCTGTGGGGCTTTACAAACAAAACAAAACCCACTCAAATCTAGGCTCTGTCTAGACCCTGGAATCGGCTTCTGTGGGTGGGGAGACACCCAGCAAGGCACATACATTTTTTTTTTTAAAAGATTTTATTTATTTTTCTTTTTTTTTTTTTTTAAGATTTTTAAATTTTTATTTATTTGATAGAGAGATCACAAGCAGGCAGAGAGAGAGGAGGAAGCAGGCTCCCCGCTGAGCAGAGAGCCCGACGCGGGGCTCAATCCCAGGACTCCGAGATCATGACCTGAGCTGAAGGCAGCGGCTTAACCCACTGAGCCACCCAGGCGCCCCTTTATTTATTTTTCTAACACAGAGAGATCACAAGTAGGCAGAGAGCTAGGCAGAGAGAGTGGGGGAAGCAGGCTCCCTGCCGAGCAGAGAGCCCGATGTGGGGCGCGGGGCTCGATCTCAGGACCCTGAGATCATAACCCAAGCCGAAGTCAGAGGCTTAACCCACTGAGCCACCCAGGTGCCCCTAAAAGCTGTCTGAGAGATTCAACAGGCAGTCGGCCTGAGAACTGCCCCTCAGAGGGCTGTGAGATCTGCAAGAAGGGCAGTTAAATTCTTCGAACTTATTGATCATATAAAGAGACGACATGTTCAGCTACTCAAGAGGAGGCTGAAGTTTGAAGAAACGAGCAGATGCTGTGTTACTGAAGCCGCCCCCAAGCTAGCCGCCCACAGTGGCTACCCGCCTGGTTTTGAGCTGGGCTTCAGGGAATTTGGGTTCCTAATGAATGAGTACCCGAATAGGCCACTGGGGGGCGATATTGCTAGCCCTTCACTCCACTGTCAAATTTACCAAAGAATTTTTTTTTTTCAGCATAACAGTATTCATTGTTTTTGCACCACACCCAGTGCTCCATGCAGCCCGTGTCCTCTCTAATACCCACCACCTGGTTCCCCCAACCTCCCACCCCCCCACCTCTTCAAACCCTTCAGATTGTTTTTCAGAGTCCATAGCCTCTCATGGTTCACCTCCCCTTCCATTTTCCCCCAAATGCCTTCTCCTAACTCCCCATGTCCTCCATGCTATTTGTTATGCTCCACAAATAAGTGAAACCATAAGAATGTTCTTTTAAAGGAAGGATTTTTAGTCCCATTGTTATGGAAGTAGTATATTATCTATTTTATTTTTTTTCATCTTGGTTACTTTCTGTATAATTATGTGCTATTTTGTTCCAAAGAGTTCTATAAATCCACATCATCTCCTGAATAGGAGCCCTCTGTGAGAACTTCACATTAAAAAATAGCTAAATATTTAAAAGATGTTTAGGTTAAACGTAGTCAAAGGTACAATGAGTTTGAAGAAGCTAACCTTAAAAGGTTCTTTTAAAATTTTTTAAGCAAAAAAAAAAATCGTCTTGGTGACATTTCTGTACATTAGCAATAAACATATTATCCACCGTTCCTTATAAATATACAAGGACATACGCACACAGAGTGGTTGCAGTATTTTGAGATGGAAAACAAGACTGGAGACCCTCTAAGTGTCTATCAACAGGAGATCCATTAAATTGCAGGGCGACCGTATGGTGGCAGGTGATGGAGCTCCAAGCTGGAGCTGTGTGGTCTGCTGTGGGAAAGGTTCAAGGGCAAGAGCAAGGAGCAG